TTAATTTTATAATTTGTGATCGATAAAAAAATTGTGACGTATAAATTTTTTTTTTTTTTGTGACTGATAAACAAATTGTGACATATAAAATTTTTGAATAGTGACAAATAAAATTTATATTCGTGACCGATGAATAATTTGTGATCTATAAAATTTTGATTCGTGACTGAGGAGTAAGTCGTGATCAATAATTTTGATAAATTATGCCGAAAATTAATTTGTGACTAATTAATTATAGAATTGTGACCAAATTGCATAAATTTGTGACATTAATATATTTGATTAGTAAAATATATATTTAATAAATTAGTTTATAAATAAAATTTTAAAAAATCTGATTTTTGAAATTTGAAACTTATTTTTTTATTTTTGAAATAGATGATACTTGTGCTCTTGTTTCTGAAATTTTCCCAATAAAATTTGCACGATTGTATTTGTAGGCACATATTTGGGTTAATGATAATCTCTAAAAACTTGCTCGTCAATTCGGTAGTATTACTATTATACGATAATTCACTGAATAATAACATGATAACCTTATAAGAGTATTTATAGTATGCCATATTATTAGAAAGTGCTAAAGTGGATATTTTAGTATGATTCGCCTTATTTTTCTATATATATATATAAGGTTTCATTACAAATATTCGCAAAAGACGTTACTATAAAACTCAACACAAAGCATGCATGATTTTACTTCATCAGTTTGTTGTATAGCTTTCTCCAAAAAGAGTATCAATAACAATTATAACGACAAAATTATCGGTTTAATAGTAAAAACAATTAAAGAGAAAGAGAAAGCCATACTAGAATCGACAAAGTTTTATTTAAAGATGCTTTATCTCAGAAAAAAGAGGCGATGAAATGAAAGGACATCATCGCAAAAAGTGCTGTTTGATTTGATTTAAAATGGGGTGTCAAAAAGTTATGAAATTGAGTGATAACTTTGTTTTACTTCAAATCTACAACGAAAGTCATATAAATTTTAGAGTTTTGCTACGTTACCAGAAGCTTTTGTCAGAAGGTGTTACAAAAGCACAAGTGGAGGGACTACATTGACGAAAATTGCTTTTTTCCAAGGATTAATCAATGTTTGACACCTATGTATCTGTAATGCTATCTATCAACCCTTTCTGACAATGTAGCAAAACTCTAATTTCCATCAAATCGTGCATCTACAAAATTTAAAAGTGGCACGACTAAGTTACTTTTTTCTTTATTCAATGCATCAACAAATTTTAAAAGTAACACAACTATGTTACTTTTTTCTTTATTTAATTTAAGTATATATTTAAAGAAAGCCATTATATATTCGCAAAAGAGACTTTTATGTAGACATTTTTGATTATTTAGGCAAAAATTGTATTTACTAAAAAAATTGAGATTATTGTATAGTGCATGTGGATGCTAAATGTTTATTTTGCATTTATTGAAATTGATCGAATCAATTATGTCCATACGAGTGATATTATAAAACAATTATATTTGTATAAGCAGTTGAATTGTTGATTAAAACAAAATTCACTAATTTGTTTATAATAAGTCACAAATCATTATATATTTTGGCTATGCAATCAAATTCATATTCTCTGAATATAACTACCCAATCTTTAAATTTAAAAAAAAAAAAAAATCTTATATTTTTAAATTGAGATGCAAAAGTAGTGTGACAAATTTTCCAATGCCAAGCAAGCTTTTTAATATCAAATTTTGAGAGATTCTTTGAATAATGTAACAAGTAGTGAGGTGGGACTGAGAATCAACCATTTTTATTTGGTACATATATTATATTATGCAAAAGGGCGCTTTTCAGGTACAATAATGGTTTTATATTAAATTTATGCGAATATTTGCCAAATAAAAAGTAAACAAAAGACGAGCTTGCAAATGTAGCAAAAACAGCTAAAATATATGAAAAAAGCTAATTGTACAAATAAAATAAAAAGTGGGCCCCCCACATTGTGAGGGTTTGTCAAATTTTTTGTCAAACTTTTTTTGTACAAGTAGCAAGGTTGAAAATATATAGCTACATACTATTTCATTTATAACACTCTTATGTTCTAACATTTTGTAATGAATTATTCTAATTCATCACAATAGGGTTTGAGAAGTATTTGCATGATGAATCAAAGTAGAGTGTGGATCGGTAGCCACCCTTACTAGGCTCGGCCTTGAATGCTAGAGCGACTTTTAATTTCTTTCGTTTTCTAAGAAAACTAACAAAAAGAAATTTTAAGAACAAGTAAGGGTCGATTTGAACATAGGTAGTGCATGTGATCCATGTCAGCCTCATAATCTTTAGACTCGAGAAGGGAATTGTTTCTTTTAAAAAATGGAACTTGACTCATTTGAGATGTGGACCGACAACGACATAACAAAGGTAGCACCATCATGTGGCACATGCACCTAGTGGATGGAGTAATGTTTTTGGTCGATTGATTTGCCACAAAAAAACAAAATAAATTGGTTTCACATGAAAATGTCCCAACCCCACCCCCAAAACGAGTAAATCCGTACTTGGCCGTAACACCTCACGCTTGCACATGCATAATGTTTGTATTATCACTACATCTGCGAAATATATTCTTTTTATTTTTGAAAGTAACTTCTTCGATGACGCGTTTTTTAGATACGAACTATATATTGTACAAAGTAATACAATATCTAATATTAATAATCATAAAGATCATACTTCTAATAAATGGACAAATATTTGTTCTTCATTGTGATGTAATATGTGAACAACCACCTATTATTTTCTAGTACTATTGCTGCTCACTTATCTTCAACGGCCTATAGCAACTAATTGTTGAAGGTTCACTACGACACTTATAATGATCCAGATAGATGTTTAGCATCGGTTACCAACAATCGACTGTTGACACTATAATCTAGGGCGTGTTCGGTAGAAATTAAAATCGGATTAAAATTTAAAAATTAATCGTTATTGTTGACTTTTATTAAACGAGTGAGATCCAATAAATGTTATATTTTCAATTTTAATTGAATTTTAAACTTTACCAAACATGCTCCTAGTGTTGTGTATGAATAAACACGTGTATATGTATACGGATGCATAATTGTATAGTATCTGTTTGAAACAAATTTTATGATTTTTCACTATTTAAATCCAAGCAATCTTAAAACAAAATACAACATTCCATTATTATTAAACTTTGCCAAACCCTACCGAACAACCTAACCCCAAGTAATATTATATATTTTTAAGGTTAGTTCACCTGTTTTTAACCTTTTTCTTCTCTACTCCAGAAATTTTTTAGGTAACCAGAGAAGTTCCAAGCACTAAGTTTGATATGTGCATGAAAAAATTGCAGCCATGTAGTATGTATGGTTCGAGCATGTTCCGTACACATAGGAATGGAGTACGGACGAAACTAAAGAAGAGGTGCACGTAAAGAGTTTGTTAGTTGTGCGGTTATGTTCAGTCCCTTCCAGTCGACCCTGCTGACCAAGGCTGCCACTAGGATTTTGTAACAAAGAAAAGAAAAACTACTTATAATTTGTTTTCCATCAACTTACAAGCTAAAGCTAACACAACAAATGAAATTAAGTTTCTTGCATTTTCAACTTTCTCTCCATTCTTTTTGGAATTCTCTTCTACCCAACCAAACTCCTAACAAACGAACAGAAAGCGCATTCAAGATTATTCTAAGACGAAAGTAGTCTCAAAATCCATCTAATCCACAGTAAAAATTCTACTTTTCATGCATACCTTGTAAATGACAACAATTTCTAGCAATAACAAGAAACGGGGTCATACCAATATGAACGATGTACGTAGTCCTGAGAAACTCATATCAATCCTAGACATCAAAACATCCACTTGCTTTAGCAAGAGGCATTTCACACTTGTCTACAGAGTCGCCCGAGCTGCTAAAACAAGAATCAACCATCCACCTTATATAAGCGCTCTTCCATTATTCACACTCTTCAATTGCATGCATGTACCGTATTTACACCCAACTGTTGAATTATATGCCTGCACCAACATTCTGGAGCCTAATGCCCGTGAGAAGCTATCACGAGCTTCCTCCCAAAACTCTGCTCAATTCATGTTTCTGTGCTTCAGTGAGTTTTTTTGGGTACCTAACATCAATTTGGATCCTCAGATTTCCCTTCTTCCTAGGATCCCTCGAAATTGGCATTCCTTCATTAGGAATAACTACCTCGTGTCCTGGTTTGATGATCTCTGTTATAGGGATCGCGATACCCCTGTCATCTAGTGTCATCAGCTCAATAGTCTTTCCCGTGAGGGATTCAAGAAGTGTTATCTCATGCTTCACAATCAAATCGTTACCGTCCCTTGTATAAATAGGATGAGGTTTTTCATCTATCACAAAAATAAGATCTGCTGGGATGATGCCAGGCTCTTCATTGCCCTTCTTGGGGAAAGTTATTTTTGTGCCCTTCTTCCAGCCTCGTTTTATATCAATAGTTAAGATCTCCTCAAACACCTGAGGTTTACTGCAAGATAACAAAGTTCATATCAAGGAATAGTCGAAGTACATCAAACATTCACTCAAAAGAACTTCGAAAAGAAACACATGAAGCAAAATTTCCAAGTGTAATACTGAGCACGGAAATTTATATGACAATACATAAGCACAACTCCAGTTATATCTTAACATTGATTAACATAAGCACACCTCCAATTATACCTTAATATTTGATTAATTTAATTAGATATATACATTAATATCATAAAAAGTTTATATAAAATTTGATCAACAGAGCAAATAGAGAAAAAGCTTCACACTGTAGGTGCGAGTTAAAAACATCATGAGTTCAAATTAAACTAATGTTGCCCCCAAAGAGGCAAGGCCTCTACTTGGACACCCATTCCAAGTTCATATCTCAGTTCAAGACATTGTTGTTTGACGAACATATTGTGGCAGTGTCTAGGGGATTTCACTTGGAAAAGAAAATGTCCCATAATAACAGATTCGGGTCCATAAGCAGGTGAATTGAAAACTTCTAGTGTGTCAAAGTCTCATAAAACTCTTAGAAGAAGCGGTAGGAAAACCCAACTTAATGGAATTTAATAATTCAGCTATTCGTCAGCTTAAGCAAAATACAAAATTTGCAACAAAACAGCCCATTGCATTATCTTGGGAACATGTCATTTTTAGTACCTCAACTTTGCCTAAAGCAATGGTCATTACTATAATGCAGACCATGATGAAAACTGCATAAATATCCAAATCAAAGAATACCTCGTATTTTTTGAGGAAATCATAGTATTCCAGAAACAATCAACTAAATGCAGAGAAATAATAAGAAATCAAAACATTGTAACATCCGAAAACAAAGAGTAAAAGAAAAACTAGAAAGAACATTGTCAACAAATAACCATGATGGCACAACTACCGCCATGCATGTTCATAACATTAATGCTTTCAGAGAGCCAACCAATATAGATAAAAAATGTATACTGTAAGTCACAGAGTTAGCACTTAATAACCCTATAATACTGCAAGCGATAGGTAGAAAGAACCTTGATGTAGGATAGCTAAGAAAATCTGGGTGGTTTCCTTACTGATTTCTCTACCATATATAGCTGGAAATAAACTTTTTCAGAAGCAGAAGATTTTTGTTTGTGGGTAGCAGCTAAAATTTGAATTTATATAAAGTTTTTTTTTTTTAAAGATGAATAGTTCCTGTTAAGATTTGCTTGCAATTGCTAAAACAGGTGTTCGAGTCAAAATAGGAGTGTTCAGGGGTGCTCCAAAATAGTCCAGAAGCATTACAGTGCCATTCATTACAGTGCTTGATCTCCGGAGAGAAGGTGAGCAAGAAATTTAGGATTCAACACCTTTATGTGCAATCTTTTTCAAGCTTGGCCATCTTATGAGGTATGAACTTGACTATCTCATGAGGCACGAGCTCTGCTACTCCTTGAGGCATAAGCTCAACCACCTCCAGTGATGGGGACGAAATGACCTCTTTGTAGGTCCTTGAGGAAACCTAAGTGACCACGAAGATAGCAACAAAGACTACTTCCAATGTTAACAGAAATTATGCCAAAAACTACATGCGCATGCCTGCAGGCAAGCTCTGTATAGACGGTATGAACTCAAAAATGGCCAAACTCCTCTAGTTTACCAGAGCCATAGATGGTGACATGTTTGAGCTCATGAGTATCGAAGGCGCAGCTTCTATCCTTCTATAACATTTGTCCGATTGAGAACGTTCTTGTTGGTAGTGGACATTTGGTTTTCAGAAAAAAAAAAAAAAAAAGCATCCTGTGGGGGGTGGCCTAGGACGCAATCTCCCTGAAGGAATCAACTCCTCTACTTCTCTCACTTGGTTTTATCATCTCTATTCACGTGACTCGTTTTCATAAGCAGGCAAAAGATTAAAGAACTTTAGACAAACTAATGCAAATAGGTGTAAGCTTTGCTGCTGACAAACACCCAGTTCTAACCACAGTGAGAGACATGAAAGTGCAAATAGCGCCAGTCAACGCATGGAATTAAACATCCATAGCCGTGAAAAGAGAGATTGTAATATATCATCTATGTTTGTACCATTCCTCATAGAACAGGTCTTCCGTCCAACTAAGAATTTTACAGGGAATGTGAGAATCCTCACTAGCGCTGGCAAGCCAGTCAAGCCATGAGCAGAAAACCCATCCAAAGATCAATTTTTAGTGCTCAACTTTATAGTAGGGCTACCTAGATGCCGGAAAGAGAAATGTCAAGCAGAATATGTACTCATGAGTAACCCAAATTACAAGACTAATGCATTCTCCCAAATTCAAAATCTTTTGCGGCTGAGCACAAAAGGAAAGAATAAAAAAAAAAAGAAGCAACTTGTCATCAAGAGGAAAATTCTTTTTTGGTATAAAAAGCACTAACACGCATCTTTTACTAGTCCCAGATGATAAGATAATGAAAGAGATCCAGAAAAGAAAAGGTATATGGGTATAAAATGCAAAATTGGGGCATGAGTTCGGCCATTGCTCAAGGCACGAGGAGCCACCAGACCACTTCCTGGCTCTGTTAACTCACAGTCCACAGACATATACTTCTATTACCACGTTAATGTGACTAGATCCCAAACGACACTTCATTCTTGAGTAAAACAACTAAACTTACAAATATAACAATGCAAGAATTTAGTGAATACGACCACAATGCATCAAATCCAGCATTTCAAATTCCAATCATTTTCCTTGTTAAAAATCCAAATATTCAATCAATCAGTAGTTATTCTATAAAGGAAAACCCGAAAACAGATACAACAAAACGTACCCATGACCATCAAGAACGTTTCTTGATATCTTCATCTTCCTGGTAGCACCCTTGTACAGCTCCTCCAAGCTACACATCAACCCATTCTCCACCGGTGGAACCTTTCTCAATCCCCCCGCACCAGCACCTGAATTTTCTCCACCTTCATACCTCGTCCCACCATTCATGGTTGTACTCCTAAAATACCCATCTCTCTTTACCCCACTTCCACCAACATTATTCGGTTTATTCCCACTACCACTATTACAACCAACATTACTACTTTCCCCAAAAATTTCCGCAAAAATATCGTCAGGGGTCCTGGGATTGAATCGGAAATTCGGGTCAGGACGATGCTGATTAGCCCCATAACCTCGGGCGCTTCGTTTGGGCGGTGGAGCTTGGCCAGACTTGAGGCCCTCCTCTCCATATAGATCGTAGATCTGGCGCTTTTCTGGGTCGCTCAAAACGTCATAGGCTTCGGAAATTTGCTTGAACTTGGCCTCGGCTTCTAGCTTGTTGGCATTTTTGTCTGGGTGCCAAATCATGGCCAAACGACGATAGGCTTTCTTCAAGTCGTCGTCACTCGCATTGCGGTTAACTTTGAGAATATTGTAATAATCCACGCCCATTTTTTCTGAGTTTTTTGAACTGTGCGATTATATATGTAATTGTATGTATGGATGTATAGGTGGAATGAAATGGGAGGAAAAGAGGAGAATCTTGGTGGAATTTGCAGGAAATGTGACTGGAAAGTTTGAGGGAGATGTTCATGGCCGGTCAATTAGAGGTTTTTTAGATCTTTCGTTATAAGGTCAATTTTACCATTAATAAAATGGGTTTTTATTGCAAAATATGTCTTTAGAATAGTTTTAAAAATTAATTTTAACTATTTTTACTCGTCTTCACTAAATATTTCTTTCTCAAAAATTTCTTCCTCAGTTTCTATTTCTTCAAAATTAACTTCTTCATATTCATCTCTAATTAGAACAAAATTTGTAATTAATATCATAACCTTCTTTTTTGGACATTCCGTAATTATATGTCCTTCATTACAATTCCAATATTTACATCGTTTTTTATCTAATAATTTTTTATTATAAGATTTATATTTTCTTTTAAAATATCTCTTTTTTTTAAAAAATATTTCTTTTTAAACTTATTATATTTTTAAAATTTCTTAGGTTTTATTTTTCTTTTTCGTTTATAATCATAACATCCTCAATTTCCTGACACTTCAGTATCTCTACAACAAATCATATTTTGTATAAATTCTGATTGTTTATAAATCATTTGAGTACTACACATAGTACTTATTTCATCTTTTATAGTTTTTTGAAAATATTAAGTTTTGGGGAGTGTGCATCTCACGAGTGAGAAAAAAAATTTGACCATTGAGGGCTGGGAAATCACTAACTTGTGTATTGCGATGAATTGGAATGACTACACACACACATGAGTCAAGCATGATGTAAGTTAAAAAGTGTTTGTTGTAGTATTTTTGGAAACATTTCACAAGTTATTAGCATAATGTAAGAATTGAAGCAAAGTGACAAACTATCTAACTTTTGGAGTGTTTGTTATTATAGTATTATCGTTTGGTTTTAATTTGTGTGTTTGCATGCTTGCTTGTATAGCTTTGTTCGAGGACTAACAAATATTTAAGTTTGGGAGTGTGATAAGTGCGGGTTTTTACACTTATTCAGACTATTAATTTAGATATTTGTGAGTTTTTATTATCAATTTATTACTTAATTTAGTTATTTTTATTTTGTAGATGAAAACCCAACTTTGAATGATGATTGGAAGGAATTTACGTGAGAAATTAGCAAAAAGAACCAAAGACACAAATAATTCAAAGTTTGGGGGCCAAGATTAACACTTTTTGAAAGTTGGAGGATTTGACGTGCAATATTTGAAAACTTGACACCAAAATCAGTTTTTTTTTTGCAGATAAGGTGGCGCATAGGCGCCACTATAGCAAATTTGGCATTTTCAAAAGGCTAAGGACCGGTTTTGTTATCTTTCCAAAGTTGAGGGCTTGTACTGCAATTAGTCATTAGGTTAATTTAGGGCGTGTTCGGTAGAGATTAAAATCGGATTAAAATTGAAAAACTAGCCGTTATTGTTGACTTTTATTAGATGAGTGAGATCTAATAACGGCTATATTTTCAATTTTAATTGGGTTTTAAGCCCTACCAAAAATGCTCTTAAAACAAAAGGCAGCCCCTGTTTTTGACTACTAGAAGACGTCCAGCAGCTGGGTCTCTTGAGTTTCTGGGCATTTTCAATTTTTTTTTTATTTGCTTTTTCTTTATTTATTTTTCATTTGATTTCCATTGGAGATTTTTGACAAAGCTTGAAACTTGGCAATTGTGAAATAGTTTGAAGAAGAAGACCCTATCAATAAGCTTTTATTTTCCCTAATTTATTTTCCATTAATGAGTTCTAAGAATTTGTTGTTTATTTTTTAGTATTTGATGGGTAACTAAGTATATTTGTGATTGAGGGTGATTCCAAACCCGAGTTATGATTTTCAATTAATTTATGCTTTATAGTTTTCTTGATTGATGTGTTTAATCCATTGATTTAATGTGTATTTTGTTCTTCTTGATTGTTGGGTGTACAACTAAATGATTGAGTTGTTGCAATGAATGCTATTTTGGGATTTATAGTACGTAATCGCTATTTATTCTAAAACCTTGTGGCAATTACATTTCAATGGATTATGAGGAATTTTTTATTGATTGTATGTGGATTAACACTTAAGTTAGTAAACCGAGCTTGTAAGTTTGCCCTTAATTCAATTCATCTCTTTTGTCGTAATACTTTTGTTAAATTAAATCTAAAGATCTTATTTTAGGTTGTTTAATGAATAGGGTTGAGTAAAGAGCTTGTTTTATTCAACTAACATGTAAGAAGAAATTGAAATAATTGAGCTTGTAATTATTCTCGAATTGTTGTTAATCTAGAGAACGAAAATTTATTGTGGTAATTGATATGAAAATCATTCTCGTGGTAACGAAATACCCCTCAATCACATCTTCACATCTTTGATTTAAAAACTATTTTGTTTATTTCCAAATTCAAGTCTTTTCTATTTTGAATTTATTGCTTTATTCCTCCCAAAATTTAAATCACTTTAGTATATAATAGTTAATTTCAATTTCTAGTGTGCAATTGATTAGATTTAAACAATCTTCTGCGGGAAATGACCATTACTTGCCATATTATTATTTAAGACGACATATTTAAGCTAAGTATGGAAAATTAATTGGTACTCATTTTGAGCTTATCAAACACTAAATTTTATGGGTTTATTACATGAGTTATAATATTGTAATTACCATTTATTCCAAATGCAACCACTTAATAGTCTAAAGCTACTTCAAATGAATATTTCTACGCAATTAAATCTCGTTAATTACTTTGGTTAATTCACAGTCTACAGTCTAGAACCATTTCACGCTCAACCTTTGGTTAATTACTTTGGCATGTTAATAGGTTGGCAGAATGCCAATCTCCTATTTCGCGCTCGTTATATTATGCATTTTTAGATCCAAACTTCATCGTCTTTTTCACAGTTTAAAGGTTGGGATTTGGGGATCTGATTAAAGACAACCATCATTTCTGTTTTCCTTTATTTTTGATGATTTCTGGGTTATCATTTGTTGTTTCTATTGGTATATTTCTTCAGAGTCGCTACTGAAAATTAATATTTCTACGCAATGTCAATCTCCTATTTTACGCTCAACCCAAACTTCAGTTCAAAGTTACAACACATACAAATTCATACCGTCATTTGTAGTGACCCAGTTCCGGAGATGGTGTTCATAGCTAGTCGTACTGATTCACTTATCAAAGCTCTGTGAATGTAGCTCAGTTTCTTCCACTCCAACAGAAATCAAGAGCTCCTCTTCATAAATAAGACACCTTGATTTGGGGGAAATGGTGCCAGAGAGATGTGGATGCAGTAGAAGAGAGATGCTATTTTAATTTTCTTGCCAAAATTGGAGATGGAGACGGAGAGAGAAAATGGATCCAGCTGCACAAAATTCCATTTTAATTCTCTCTCCCACCCATTTCATTGTTTTGGCTCCCAAAGCTTTCAACACATCACAGCCGTCCACTTCCAAGCGATCTCCACCGTACACGTCACTTTGTAAATGACTTTTGTAAAGAAACTTTGTACAAATAGCATTTTTGCTAATCGAAATACATGACTATATCCTTGGTGTTGTAGTATCTTCAAGGAAAATAAAGGAACCACAAGAGAGAACCTTTTTTTTTTCTTTTGGGCAAGAAGGTGGAGTGGGATGGGGTGAAAAATAAAATTTTAAATATTTGAGATAGTAGGTGGCACGTATAAACAAGTTGGATTTAATTTATTAAAAAATAAAAAGTTTGGATGCTGAAATCACAATTATTCATTTTTAATTTTGACATATTTTAATATTTTTAGTGTGAAATCTGAGGGGTCTTGACAACGAGGGGGATTTTCGTACAAATGATTTCAAATAGGGAGTTTGTTTCTACGATTTCCAACGGATAAGTGATATATCGTATATGGAAACGTTTCTAGGGGGTTTGTAGTATTAATCCTAAAATACAATATTGAACTTTTTGTGAACAGAGGAAACAAAACGATATTAATATGTTGAAAATTCTTAATAACAGCTCACTGAAACTTATTGAACTTGAGACTAAAAAATTTGTAAATCTCGAATCTAATTCTTGATATTTAAAAACCTATACTCAAATTGTAGCTTATCTAAAACATTTCATGTTTTTCATGCATTCTTTGAATTTTTTGGACAATAAATATTGAAAGTATATGACGTTAACATATCGAGATTAGAGTTGGTGTTTCAGTATTGTGATTGAACTTTGAATATGAAACGTATAATTTATGAAGGAAAAAAATAATTTCGAAGTAGGTATTATACATAATTTCTAATTTGATGGGTGAAATAATGATTTTTCCCAAGTACGTACCAAATTTTGTAGACATCTTACAAGTTGACAGGCCAAGTCTCGAGTTTGATAGGCAAATATTTAATTTATTTGGCAAATCTCGAATTTGTTGTGCAAATTTTGAGTTTATTCGACTACCTAATTTCAAACGCATAACTTTTTATTTTCAACTCCGAATTGCGCTCCGTCTTTTTGTTGAACTCTAAATTCAATTATCTTTTCAATTGTTTATTAATTTCATATGAATATCTGTGTAACACAAGTTGTGCACTAATTTCCTTACATACTCCGTAGGTAGGCAAAAATAAGGAACATGAGCATGTTAGGAGATTAGGTGCAAAGCTTTTGTTATATAGATCTTCATAAAGCAAATTATATAGCATTTGAAAGCTAATTGAATTTGGAGTTGAACTTAAAAATGGAGTGCAATTTAGAGTTGTAGATCAAAAATTATGCACATTTGAAATTAGACAGTTGAATAATATTAAGTTCTCTGCGCAAATCTCGAGTTTACTTGGTGAATCGCAAATATGCTTGACTGCCTAACTTCAAACATGTATATTTTTTTAGGATTATGTTACTTGTACATAAAAATGGTACTAAGAGATTATATAAAATGATGTGGAGTGAAAAGATTGTACAGAGTGTTACAAATGTA